TATATTCTTTTTCTTTCATTTTTCAGAGTTCAATGACAACTCTAAATAAAAAAAATGAATTTTCTGTCAATTATTTCATGGTCCGGGCTTTAAAGGGTTAAAGAGAAACATCCAGAAGGTTCTTTGAGCACCTTTTAACTGTGCGCTGTTTGGGTCAAGATTCCTAACTGAAAAAAAAATCTGGATTACCTACAGTTGTCATCTCAAACATTTACGTCAGTTGGGTGGTATAGAGTCTTACAAGTTGGTCGACATCAAACTACTGAGATCCAAATGTTTGCTCCTATTGAGGAAAAGAGTCCTGTTAATACAGCTAAACAATTAATCATGATTAATAGATTATTGAAATAATCATCAACTAATTTAGTAATAGATTAATCGTTAAATGGCATATGGAGACTCTAAAACATGCCTTTAGCTGACAGAGCGACCCATAGAGCAGTAATTATACCAAAATTATAAAAAATATATGTAAACATCTTGCAGAACTCCTCACGTGGAAAAGTTTCAATTTCGCAGTTTAATTTTGCGAAAAATCTTCTTTAAGGAACCTTCAGCGATACGATTATTAATAAAAAAAATAATCAAAAAATAAATGCTAAATTTGCTAAATAATCAGTAATTGCAGCTCTACCCAGTAGATTGGAGGCAATAAGTTCATCACAAAAAAGTATTTATGTGAATGTAAGACTATCAGATCATAAATATTCATTACACAGAATAACATATTTCCAGCCTTTATTTCTTGCAGTGTTGATGGTTATGGGCATCTATCAGGGAAGCAGTCTTCTTGTGATTTACAGACCTGTTATAAAACATTAATAGATGAAAAATGCAGGAAAAATGAGGCTGAGCTGAAAACTCAAAGCATAAAAATTAGCTTAGCCTGACATTTCTGCTTAAAATCACCCTTTTTTTTTTTCCAACGTTATCTTTATTGGTTTTTCAATAATAGTCAGGACATAAGTGTGCTCTCACATCGAAGGAAAAGTCCAGGGTAGTTAAATTATTGTCCGGCGTTCGACTTGTCTTTCCGGAGTATTTTAGAGCAGCACCTATGACACACAGAGTATATGAGGAAATACAAACAAACAAATAAAAAAAGAACAAAAAACAAAACACAATGCCCCCAAGCCCAAACCCCCCGGAGAAGAAAAAACAGTTACAATAATAACGGTTTCTCTATTTTCCAGAAATTAGCCCATACACTACAAAAACAATCTAGAGATAAGTGAAAATGTCTTAAATTAAGTGTATTTACCCTTAATTTGAGTAGGTAAATGAGAGTTTACCAATAGAATTGGTATTTTTACTCTTAAAATAAGATAATTACATAATATGCACTTGAAATAAGACAATGCTATTGTTTTTTCTTATTTTAAGTGTAAGTTGTCTTGTTCCATTGGCAAAATGTCTCTTTTATCTCCTCAATCCAAGAACAAATGCACTTATTTTAAGAAAAAAATACTTGGCTAGATTTTGTTTTTTTCCTGTGTATTATTTTAGTATTGTACGTGGTTCAGAAAATACAAACTCGAATATATAATCCAAAGTCGTCAAGTATACAAATGAAGATTATCTTAGGACACTGCAGGGGACCAACT